AGAAAGGATAGTCCCTATCTTAGTGATTAGGTTCAGATCCCTCATGAAAGAAGAGCTTTTGCAAAATAAATCCACCTTTACATCTGCCTTATCCTTTACTTCTTCTTCCTAGGGCACAGACCTCTATCCCTAGCCTGCCTATAACTAGCCCTCTACCTACTAACTTTCTTACTCCTATATCCCTAATTTTTTAATTATTTAACCTAATCTATCTAAAATCTAGTAAGTATTTAATCTATGTAATTAAACAGTTGCTAATCTAAATTAGAACCTTTAGCTATGCTAGTACTAGTACCACTAGGAGTCCTCCTAGTCGCTTATCGCGCTCTCTATATAAGAGCAGTTAGGGCTCTAGCTAGGGGCAGGTTTAACAATTTTAATTTTAAGTTAAAGAATTCTAAGAAGTGCTAGTACTATATCTCCTAGAATAAGTATTGTAATCTAGTAAGTGTCTAAGTCTAATAGGGTTCCTTTACTAATCCTAGTAGATTCCTTCTTTTGTTAGCTAAGAGTACTCTGCCCTTAGGGGTGCTCTAGAAGAATACTACAGCCTAATTAGAAACCCTGCTAAAGGGGATAAGGATAAGAAAGCTGTGGTTGCCTATTAGAAGGATGTTAAGCAGTTTAAGGCCGCTATTTAAGAAACTGCCTAAAACCTTGCTAAGTGCGTTACTATTACTAATACTTAGACTAAGGGCATAGAAGCTGCTAAAATCCTTATAGCCACCTATTATACTACTATATCTAATTTACGTTAGCTTTAGAACAGTATTTATAAGATAGTCTTAGTAGTTAGGGGCTTAATAAAGGCTATTAACAAGCTTAAGGAGGAATTAGCACTAAATTAGGAGGCAACTTTCCTAGTCTAGGCTAAGATAAAGGCGTTCTACAAGAAGGAGTCTAAATCAGTCCTAGCTCCTGTCCCTGCTCCCGCACCTGCTCTAATTCCTGCTACACTAGTTGTCTAGAAGCTAGCAAAGAAGGATAGTCTAGGCGCAATCTTAGCTAATACAGAGTCTAAACTAGGTTCTAATAGAGAGATAGATATAGAATAAAGAGGTTTCCTAGGGGTAGTATCCTAGGAACCTTTAAGGTTCTAAATAGGATATAATAATAAATAGCAACAAGAATAATAGTAATAGATAGTAGTTAATAGGTAATACATAGCTAAATAGGATGTGAATTAGTTCTAATATTAGGCATAATTATTGTGAAGTAATATTAGGTTCTCTTTCCCTTTTTCCTAGGCTTAAATCTATTTTAGTAAGCTGCGTGGGGGACCTAGCTAATTTAGATACTATTAGTAGAATGCCTGTAATTTATAGGGAGCCCCTATAAAGTTAGAGGTAGGATACTAAATAGGATCAGGATCGTGTCTAACCCACTTAACCTTATATTTCAGCTTAGATTAATATAATTTGCTAGCTAGGATTTCTTCTACCTCCTATTCCTCTACACCTTATATAGGAGTACTAGGGGGTTTTAGAGCCTCTTATCTAGGTAATAGGTCTTAGGGATCTTTGCATAGTACATTAGGAGAGAAAACGTTATAGATCTTAGAACTAGGTAGCAATTAGAGGCGATACGCGTTTCCCACTTATTCTAATACCTTAAAGGGACCTTCCTATTATTTAGATAGTTTTTAGCTAGGTTATAAAATAGTAAGATTAGCGGTGGATAGATAAACATAGTCACTAACCTTCTAGTTAACTAGATAGTAATAGTAATTAGTAGCAGAGCGTATTTAGTCTTAAGCTCTTTCTATATTTTCTTTAGCAATCTTCTAGGCGTTGTGTATCTAAGTAGCAAGGGATAAGGCGTCCTTGTGGTTCAGTTTCTCTAGTATAGTGGATAGGGTCTTTTCTAGTTTCTAATACTAACTTTGCTTTAGTAAGGAACTAAAGAGGAGCTAATATAGAGCTATGCTAATAGATAAATATAGAAGAGTACTTTAGGCACAGTCTATTATAGGTAGTAGGTCGCTCTAGTTATCTTAGTAATAGGATATAAAAGGCCTTAGTCTCTAATTAATATACTTGTTTATAATCTTAGTTTATCTATTAGTTTATTTATAGTAGGTAGTAGAGAGCTTAACTTTAGTGCCTATAATCTAACAGAATTTAGACTAGAAACTAGATATAAACTAAGGGCCTTAATTAGAAATAATAGTATCTAGAGTATATCTAAATTAGTACACCTACTAAACAAATAAGGTAGCTATACCTTAGGCGTCTATAGTTTTGTGGCAAGGGATAGTAATAGCTTGCTTTAATAGGCGATTAATAATAACTATAATCTAATTATAACCCTGTTAATCCTAGGGAAAATCCTTAAAATTAATGCACAGGTGCTGCATTAGTAGACTAGGGATAGGAAGGGGGTGGAGCATGCCTAGGAGTTAGTGCTGTCTTAGGTGCCCTCTCCTGCATAGGATACAGTTTTAAACATAGCATTTATAGGTAGTCTCTATACCTTTCTAGTAGTAATGTTAGGCTAGAATCTAATAGGTTTTGGTGGCTAATAGGTAGGCTGTAGACACTTAATTATAGGCCTTACGAATTAGTCTAGTATATAGGACTAATCTAGCAGGCACGCAAAGTTAATCCTGGTAGAGAAGGAGTCTATTTTCTATCTAATAGTGCTTAGGTAACTCTAATCTTTCTATTAGGAATAAGGACCTATTTTCTTA